CTTCTTGGCCGCTCAGAGAGGAGTGACCAATATGTGCGGACCTATAACACTGTCATTGGCATAGCGGAAGTATGCAGAGCCCATCAGAGAGGAGAGGGGACCAGCTATGACCTCTTTGATGAAGGGGCAGTGCTGAACAAGTTGAAGGATTGGCTGGTGGCAAAGAAGGGCTGTGAAACAGAAGCAGCGCATTGTGAAGTGGAAGCAAGCTGGAAGAGCGTGGTGAGTGTCTCCTTCAGCTTCACGCGCATGGTTGAAAGGGAGAGCCTTTTCCCGTCAGAGGCTACGTGGATGGATGGGCCGGTGGCAGAGATGCCAGTCGCAATTGAGAGCTCAGCGTCTTCAAGCTCCTCAAGCGCCAGCAGTGATACGGAAGAAGATGGCCCGGGAAGCTCCATAGGCCTGGCAAGAAGGGTTGCTGGATGGCGAAGCGAAGGCGCTTCAAGAGGGCAACAGTCTTTCAGGAGAAGCCAGACTCGACGGCATACACATCGCGTTGCCGTGTCTGGCCAAGGGGTTATCCAGTGATTCAGAGGATGAAGTGGAGCCTGAAAGCGCTGATGACAGATTCAGTGCAGATGCGGGCTTTACGTAGACGACCAGTGACAGTCCTGGCAAAACCGCTTGCAGGTGCAGGGGTGCAGCCAGCTGTCTAAGCATGTCATGGGGGCCGCGCCCTTGAGGGTTAAGTGGGTCGCACTGGGTGCTCTTGACAGATGGTCAACTTTGCACGCTGCAGAGTTTCTGCTCACAATCCGGAATGCCGCCCATCGGGAGGTTGACTGATGAGGAGGCGGAGGCAGCCCTCATGAGGGGAGGGGCGGACCTCAAGTATCTCATGGAGAGAAGCAAGGTTCCGAAAGATGTCATGGTGAAATGGTTTCGCGTTGGTGTGACTTCGTTGGAACGTTTCGCCAACATAGCCAAACATGCAATGGATTTGGCAGAAGTGATGAAGGACCACTTGGGTGTGGACCAATCTGCAACCCTGGCTGAGAGGGTGATTGTAGCCTCTGTGACGTGTGCATGGAGCAATGCACGCTGCCGAAGTTGGACACAAAGGAATGGAGGAAGCCTGTGGCTACGTCGGAATGGCTGGCAATGAAGTCAGGGCTGGAGGAGGTGGTGGAAGTAATTGAAGACCGCCAGACTCCTGCCAAGGAGTATGTGGAGAAGAAGCTGCAGGAGATAGAGGCAGGCGAGTACCGTGCGGAGGATCTCAGTGAAGTACTGAGCAGGGATGATGTGGACCCTGACAGTGTAGTGCCTCAGTGGGACGCAAGGGGCGCACTCACTATGAAGAGGTGCAGCGGGAAGGTCAAGGAGCCTGGAAACCCGGAGGCTCTGAAACCAAGGCTCACGGTGATGCGCGACGCGTATCAAATGGTGGCCCTGAGGTGCACGAATAGGGCAGAGCCATGTCAGGGTCTCTGAGGAATACAAGGATCTCCTTGGAGATCACGTGTATGGCCTTCACGCCCAAGACGCAGATGGGATGACCATAGCAGCCCCACCTTTCCGCTTGGTGCTGACGTGTGAGAAGGCGGTTCGCAAAGAAGCTGCGCGGAGAATGAACCAAGAGAAGACAGCCTTCCCGGTTGCGCTGAGGCAAGCGTGGCGAGAGCGGCGCTTTACGACGCCGCTAGCACTGTGAGCAAGTGGCGGGCGATCGAGCGAGCGAGCGAGCGAGATTGATTGAGTGAGTGAGTGAGTGAGTGAGTGAGTGAGTGAGTGAGTGAGGTGAGGTGAGGTGAGGTGAGGTGAGGTGAGGTGAGGTGAGGTGAGGTGAGGTGAGGTGAGGTGAGGTGAGGTGAGGTGAGGTGAGGTGAGGTGAGGTGAGGTGAGGTGAGGTGAGGTGAGGTGAGGTGAGGTGAGGTGAGTGAGGTGAGTGAGGTGAGGTGAGTGAGGTGAGGTGAGTGAGGTGAGTGAGTGAGTGAGTGAGTGAGTGAGTGAGTGAGTGAGTGAGTGAGTGAGTGAGTGAGTGAGTGAGTGAGCGAGCGAGCGAGCGAGTGAGTGAGCGAGTGAGTGAGTGAGTGAGTGAGTGAGTGAAGTGAGTGAAGTGAGTGAAGGAAGTGAGTGAAGTGAGTGAAGTGAGTGAGTGAAGTGAGTGAAGTGAGTGAAGTGACGTGAAGTGAAGTGAAGTGAAGTGAAGTGAAGTGAAGAAGTGAAGTGAAGTGGAAGTGAAGTGAAGTGAAGTGAAGTGAAGTGAAGTGAAGTGAAGTTGAGTGAGTGAGCGAGTGAGTGAGTGAGGGAGGGAGGGAGTGAGGGAGTGAGTGAGGTGAGTGAGTGAGTGAGTGAGGTGAGGTGAGGTGAGGTGAGGTGAGGAGGTGAGGTGAGGTGAGGTGAGGTGAGGTGAGGTGAGGTGAGGTGAGTGAGTGAGTGAGTGAGTGAGTCAGTGAGTGAGTGAGTGAGTGAGTGAGTGAGTGAGGTGTCAAAGCCGCCCACGCACCTGCACCGGCTTCAGGCAGCCACAAGGAGGAGAGTCCTCTCAAGAGGCAGAAGCTAGAGCCGAAAGGAAAGGGCAAGGGAGGCAAAGGAAAGCAGTTGGCAGGGTGTGCGTCTCGCAACAAGGAGGGCCAGCCAATTTGCTACAGGTACAACACCCCAGGAGAGCGCTGCAAGGGCAAGAAGTGCAAGTTTGTCCACCAGTGCACAGCCAGCAAGAGGCTGCCGCCGGATACAGCCGGCACTGGCTGAGAAAGAGTCTTTAGAGTGCCTCTTCTCAGGGAGGAAGAGGACGAATTCGGTGGCATGGTATGTCCGGCACTTTGCCAGACGGTTTCACTGCAGAGTTGAGGTGCTGGAGATTGAAATCCAGCGTGGAAAGGGGTCAGATCTGCCCCAACCAAAGGTTCAACAGAAATGGCTGCAGCACATAGACAGTGGCGCGGTGGATGACCTTTTGGTGAAACCGCACAGTGCCTGCGGGGCTTTGGATGGAACTCAAAGCACCGAAAGAAGAAGGCTGACCTGGGCAACAACTTAGCCTTCTTCGCGTTTGAAGCAATGAAGCGGCAGCTTCGCCAGCCCAGGAAGGTTGCCATCATGGAGCAACCGGCCGAGAATCCCAGGACATTGCCCTGGATCCATGTGGCAATTCCCACAGCATGAAGAGCTGCGGCGCCTGCCTGGCGTCCAGACGGTGGCATTGGCGCAGATGGATTTTGGGACAGCCAGCCCCAAGCCAACGCGGCTACTACTGCGGGTGCCAGGCCCTTTGCATGAAGAAATTTATTTGGGTGGGCCTGAGTTGCGCCGGATGGAGCCTACCTGGGGCCACTGCCGAGAAAGATGGGAGCACAGCTCATTGAGAAGCAAGGCAATCAGTTCAAGACAGCAGCGGCGGCGGCGTGGCCTCCTGCTCTATGTGAGTGTCGTTCATGCGAGACAGCGCGATGGGGGGAGTGACGCAAGGAAAAGGAAAAGGGTAGAGGAGGCTGAGAGAGACAGGGTGGACGCCTTTGAGAGGTGGCTTGGGAAAGGCAAGAGGATGCAAGTGGAAAGGCCAAGTGGCACCCTTCCATGATGGGCGCCTGCTCTCACCCAGAAAATGGAAGAGAGGTAAGCGGAAGTATCCTCGCGCCGGAGGATGGGATGACTTCAGGAGAAAAAGCTGAGGAGGATAGTGGCAGAGAAAGCTGGCGGGGAGAGGCTTCTGGAGAGGCAGTGCTTCTCAATGGCCAGAGGGATGGGTGCAAGCTTGCGCAGGATGGAGCCCTACTTGCAGAGCTAGTGAACTGCATGGAAGGGTTTGCAGGCGGCAGGGATGACGTGGGAGAAGTCAGCCCAGGACAGCCCTTCAGGCTGGAGCTCAGGAGGGCCCTGCTGGAAAAGGCGGAGGATGGCAACTTTGACTTCTTGTGTTGGGGGTGAAGTACCCTATGCCAAGGACGCCAGCTGCGTTTGAGCGGCAGGTAGAGTGGAGAGCATGCCCTTGAGAAGGCAAACTACCCCTCTGCACTAGAGCATGAGGAGCACTTGAGCCCTGGTTGCAGGCGAAAGGGAGCCCCAAAAGAGTGATTGTGACGCTTGAGCTGCTTGCCACCATCATTGCGGTCAAACTATGGAAGACGAAGATAGGTGATGCGGCCAGAGCCAAGATGAAAGCTTTCACTGACAGTTATCAGAGGTATGAGCACAAAGTTCCCGCTTACCATCCTCCTGATAGAACTTTCGGAAGAGCTGTCAGACTGGATCTGGAATGGATAAGCCGTGACGTCAACACGGATGCAGACGATCTTAGCAACGAGAAGTGTGAAAAAATGACCCAAGCTTGAGAGAGGTCTTTGAAGTGCGAGAAGGAAGTTGGAAGGTCCTAGAAAAGATGCAGAAGAAAAGCGAGGAGCTCTATGAAGACATCAAAAGATTGAAGGCGGAGAAGTCCTCAGCCAAATAGCTGGAGGCAGGAAGAAGACGGTGAAGGTCCTCTCTAAATGGTGAGTGACTGTGGTGGGAGGTAGCCTGCCCAACATACGGATAAGATGTCTGTTTGGAGGTTCGGCACTCACTTGTGGGAGAACCGTCGCGGAAAATAGCGCGCTAAAACCATCTGATGTGAACGTGCTCGTGATTCATCACGTCAATGTTTACACTCCCTATGGTTTTAGGCTCTAGCTAAGGGCAGAGGATTTCCTCTCCCTGCCCAACCCTCCCAGGAAACCCTCTGACACAGGTGACGCTCACCTGTGGCGGTTGATCAACCCCCTCCCTTCACAGGTGACGCTCACCGGTGATGGGAGGTATCCTGCCCAACATACGGATAAGATGTCTGTGTTCGGCGCTCACTTGTGGGAGAACCGTCACAGAAAATAGCGCGCTAAAACCATCTGATGTGAACGTGCTCGTGGTTCATCACGTCAATGTTTACACTCCCTATGGTTTTAGGCTCTAGCTAGGGGCAGAGGATTTCCTCTCCAGGAAACCCTCTGACACAGGTGGCGCTCACCTGTAGCGGTTGATCAACCCCCTCCCTTCGCAGGTGACGCTCACCGGTGATGGGAGGTATCCTGCCCAACATACGGATAAGATGTCTGTGTTCGGCACTCACTTGTGGGAGAACCGTCACGGAAAATAGCGCGCTAAAACCATTTGATGTGAACGTAAAGATGACGGGCAACCCACACACAGGAACGTAATTGCAACGCAGCAGGGGAAACTTGACTCACCAACATGGGATGGCCTGGCTTGGCAGGGATGGTGTTGTTGCGCAAGGCAACAGAGCAGGACACGCCTGCTGCAGCACAGCTCAAGCGGCTGAAGAAGTGCTACAAGGTACAGAAGGCCGCGACGTACATGCATGATTGGGTTTGCTGGTCCAGTTCATTTTTGCACGGCCTCCTGCCTTTGCCATGAGATGCTCCCGAACCTGGCGAACCAAGGTGAAGAAGCCCGCAAGCTGTGCAGCTCTTTTGCGAAGTGGCCTGCATGCAAGTGAGCCGCCAGTGGCTGTGGTGCTGAAGCCCATCAGCCTGGATAGCTCAGGACACGTTCGTCCAGGTGGTAGGCCTTGTGTGGACTTGCGGCTGGGCGGCGTGGTCGATATCGCGGCTCGGCGGCATCATCACAGAATGGCCGGGATAGTCCATGCTTGGATTGGAGATGTGGGCTTAGGACTCCTCCGATGAGAGCTGTTGTCCAGTGGACGCCGCTCGAGAGACAGCGCCGCCTCAAAAGAGGAAAGCGCCCCCTCCTCGCAAGAGGAGAGTGCGGAAATCGTCTGAGATTCCCAAGCCAGATTCGCACCAAAGCAACACGGCTGCTTCAATGTTGCAAACGCGGTTTGCATCGATTTGCATGAAGTGTCACCTTGAATCAAGGAAGGACAGTAGTGTCAGATTTGCTGCTGGTTGCCAGACTCAAGGCAGCTTTGATCAAAATGTGTTCGTGGAGCCATCAGAGCCTGCCAAAGAAAACACAGCACCATGGCAGCATGTTTAGAATTTTGTGCCTGACACTGGCTGGTATCCTCGCATCCTTTGCGCCGCATTTGCCGTGACGCCCAGGTGAGTGAAGCGCAATGTGGCGGAGCAGAAGATCCAACGGCGGCCAAAGATCGGCTGCTGCACCGTGCTTACGCCCACGCCGTGGGCAGGTGGCAGGCGAGGCCTTTGCGAAACACACCCCTGGTGAGTGTTTCGCCTGCCCTGCAGGCTACACCGCCAGCCGTTGGAAGGCGTTCCTTGGTTAAAAGTGGTGATAAAGTTGGAATGACTTGGGAATGGCTGAAGCAACACTCCGAATTCCAAAGGCTACTTCCTCCTGCTGCCAGCTGGCAATTTGGGTGCTTTGCGGCCTGGGCATCCCGCTATTCTGTACTCCTTCGATCCTGCTTCCAAGGCGCTTTATGAGTTTATCCTTGCCTTTGGCTCGAGCCTTCGGCAGATTCGGTGCAGGTACTGTATGAGTTTGTGCCCAGCCACGGTGGCCGATGCCTCAGCTGCACAAATCGGCGTTTGCTTGGGCAAAGAAAACAGGTGCTTTGCTTTGGCCTTCGAGCGGCGAAGCCCCAAGCTTGAGCCCAACCTGTTCACACGAGTGCAAGGTTTTGGAACGGCGGGGAGAGGCCAATCATTTCCCAAGCTTCAAGGCTAAGCTGCTAGGAGACGTGAACGCCCCCTAAAACCACCGTAGACCTCATCACTCTGGTCTGCAAAGGAAATACGGCAATTCGCAAGTGCTCTCTAATCCTCCCACTCCCAGGCGAGGACCGGTGTGTGGTTGCCTGGTCGCCCTCCTGTCCCGAAGTGTGGCCTGCCTTGAAATGACTTGGGAAGGGTTTGTTTGAAAGAGCAGCGTGCTTGGCAGTGGCTTTGCGAGTGCTTTGTCTGCAGGAATGCGCTGCTTTGGACGGTTCTGCCACTGCCGCCGGAACATCTTGAAGTTGAGGACTGGTACTTGCCGTGTCAACACATCTCCATGCATCGCATTGTCGGCCTGAAGGCGGCTGCTGCGTCACCGGAGACCTCCCCGCTCTCCGAATCAGCGGACGAGGAACTTGCAGTCAAGTGGGCATGGGACAAAGCAAGCCCAAATCGAACCTCTGTGAAATGCGGAGGCCAATGCAAGTACAATGTGGGCTCACGTAGTAAGGGGCTTTACCTCCACCACCCTGACAGGATAGTCCTGCTGATGTCATCGAGCCTCCGCCTGCATCATGCATAGCGCAGTTGTGAGCTGTGCATATTGCTTTTCACCCCCCCCCCCCCCCCAAAAAAAAAGGAAAGAAGCTCAGGTGATATCCCCAACAGCGCGCGGTGCTCTTTTTAGTGCTCGCCGTGGAACCTGGTAGAACCCTGGTGGAACCCTGGTGGAACCCTGGTGCAACCCTGGTGGGTGGAACCCTGGTGGAACCGTGGTGGGTGGAACCCTGGTGGAACCCTGGTGGGTGGAACCCTGGTGGGTGGAACCCTGGTGGGTGGAACCCTGGTGAAACTCTGGTGGACCCTCGTGGAACCTTGCCTCAGCCCGCCCCGGACCACCCCAGAGCCCATCTGGGCTGAGACCCCAAAGCTTTCAGCTGTTGGGGAAAGAAGGAGGGAAAGAAGACAAGACATATTTGCAAACACAGAAACAAACATGCAGACTGCAGACACTATTATTACTCGCCTTGCAACCCGAATGTCAAAGGATGAGCTGATACGAGACGCAGCTGCCGAAGCAGGAGTGAGCCTGGACAGTGCAGTTTGAGTGCCAGGGTCCGCTGGTGCTGCAGTTGAAGGGCAGTCTCACCCTATCCGTGCACATGCGCGAGGGAAAGCAAAGAGCATACAGAGCCACGTTGCTGCATATTTGTTCCCGCACTTGTTCCTCACCAGGCCTTGGCAGCCGAGAAGAGGACATTGAAAGCACGTTTTGCCGAGGGAATGGGCACTGGGGTCAAATGGAGGGTGCAAGGGGCAAGCTGGCGCACGCCCGGGCATGCAGGAGAGGCGACCTGTAGGGGAGCCCAGGGAGGGAGGTGAAGGCCCAGAGCTGGGCAGGCCATGCAAGAGAACATCTGTGGAATAGTTTCACTTTCCCAAAGGATACCAGAAGGAAGTCAGACCAAATTGCCAAGAGGTTCTTGGTTTTCTGAAAACCTTGTACTCCAGGCTGTTGTAGGGAGGCTGCGCAGAGCTTGCTGAGGCCAGTCCCAACCTTCTCCGCTGTTGGTGGCCCTCCATCACCAGTGCCGGAGGAACCTACTGCCAGGGCGCATAGCGTATGTTCCGGAATCTCACCCGGCGAAGGGGTCTGGATTCTGGACACAGCATTTCATTTGAAAGTTGCGTTGGAAACGATTTGTGCAACGCTTGCTCCGCTTGCTCCCGCTGAAGGCCAGGGAAGAGAAGTCCTCGTGGTGGATCCCGGGCTGTGCGCTTGCCAGTGCGACGAGCCCTGGAAATAGCCAGAGAAGCGGCCAGCTGAGGTGGTGTCTGCTCGCCACTGCCAAGGGCCCGAATGCCGTGCGCAGAGGCAACTTGGGGTTGTCAACTTGTCAAGCATGCTGAGGTGCCCCCCCCCAAAAAAAAACAAAAAGCGGAAGCATGTCCCAGTCCCTTTGGCTAGGTGCGGGACAGCGTCTTGGATTGTGGCCCTATGACGCCTGCGGCGATAGATGCCCTGGATGAGCGACACTTTGACGACTTCACAGAGGCCAGTCCGTTTACTGGGGGCACCAAGAGCGGAATTTCACCATGGCTCAGGTGCAGGATGATCTGAACCAAGAGCTTCGGCCTTAGCCAGCGACAAAGCCAGCCAGTGACTCGGTGCGCCAGTTCTCTATTTGTCCCTGCTGAGGTTGGATGCCTTGCAACGCCTGTGCTCAAAGTGGACTGGCGAATCGGGTGCAGAACCTCCAGCTGCGGAAAACGCCAGCAGCCGAGTCTTTTGGCAAGTCTCTTGCGTGCGTGCGTGCGTGCGTGCGTGCGTGCGTGCTGCTTGCTTGCTTGCTTGCTTGCTTGCTTGCTTGCTTGCTTGCTTGCTTGCTTGCTTGCTTGCTTGCTTGCTTGCTTGCTTGCTTGCTTGCCTGCCTGCCTGCCTGCTTGCTTGCTTGCTTGCCTGCTTTCCTGCTTTCCTGCTTTCCTGCCTGCTTGCCTGCTTGCCTGCTTGCCTGCTTGCCTGCTTGCCTGCTTGCCTGCTTGCCTGCTTGCTTGCCTGCTTGCCTGCTTGCCTGCCTGCCTGCCTGCCTGCTTGCTTGCTTGCTTGCTTGCTTGCTTGCTTGCTTGCTTGCTTGCTTGCTTGCTTGCTCCTCGCTCGCTCGCTCTCTCGTTTGTTTGTTTGTGTGTTGCTTGTTTTTTTTTTTTTTTTTGGGAGGTGTGTGTGTGTGTGTTTGCTTGAGCGCGGGTCGTTGGCCTGACTGGCTGCTGCGTGCCTTGGACAGCAGCCGTCTTCTTGTCCGTTGGCATGCTACGAAGGCGGGCCTCGGGGTACCAATGGTGCTGCAGGAGGAGCTGAGGCTGAGACACATACAGCGCGCATTGCATTCAGATTGTGCATTAAAGCGCATGGTGTGCATGTGCATGCGTGGGCGGACAGCCTGTTGGGTGCACCTGGGTAGGTCATATAGCCGCCGGCACCACTCACGCGATCAGTCACGAGATTCAGACGAGAGCAGGCTCAACCTGCAAGCAAGCATTGCTGACTGCAGAATTAGCCTCGTTTGATCCTATAGCACACCATGGCAGGGTGATGAACAATACCTTGCACCTTCCATCTCCACATCACGCAAACCGGTCCTTGGCCCAAGCCTGCCACATGCCAATGCAATCAAGCAGCCACATTGGGGCATAAACTGGCGGAGCTTTTTTGTCATTCAGCAGCTGACCGCGGCAATGCGAGGCCGCATGAACGTTTGGAGTTTTGCGGCTGAGCTTTAGGTACAAAGTCGTGTTTTGGGCTTAGGGGTTGGGGTGGTCTCCAGAAGCATGTGGGGAATGGATTGGGCACTCATGGTATGTTTTTGTGGCCTTGCCAATGCTTGAAGGCGCTTCAAGTGTGCATACTGTGTTTAAGATCATTTCCCCACGCAAGGTGTGCACATGCAGGGCGTGTTGTTTCTCCTTCTAATGCCAGAGTGAGCAATGACCAACTCTCATGTGCAAAGTTGAAGGCATGAAGTGTTCGTGGCTGCCGCTGGAGCATCCCCAGAAACTTCTTGGGTGTCAGCCATTGATGGCAACTTCTCCATCTTTTGGGAGCCCCTACCCACTCGCTCTTGGAGGAAGCTTTCAAGCGTTGAAGCTGTTTACCTTCAGTTGCGGCCAAGGAAACCAGTGCTGCATGCGGGCAGTACACTATCCAGAGATGCCGAGGCTGCAAGAGAACCATCACACAAAACATGAGGGTCCCCTGGGATGAGGTTCTATATGGACGCAAAAACCGTTCATGAACTGAGTTGTTTCGTGATCGCGCAGGGGGGTCGGCATCGTGCCTGAGCCTCGGAAGCCTCGGAAGATGCTTGTTATCGTTTATGCGTCAGAAGGCCATGTCTGCCCGAACCGAAATCACGTCTCACTCTCAAGGTCCTGTTCGGTTGGCAATTGGCCCAGTGTCTGAGGCAATGAGCGTGTCCTCTACCCGTCAGAGGAGGCCAGCGCCTGCACATTGCATGCTGAGCAAGGCCAAGGCCTTTGAAGCCTTTGCAACACCCTGAAACCAACATTCAAGTGGGATGGCAGAGGAGCAAGTGTAGAGTCTCTTGAGGCTTGAGAACGTGCCCTGCGCCAGGCATCACCGGCTCTTGGGCCCCAAGAAAGGTCTCGCAGCTCCGCCCTCGGACACAAGTGAGAGGCACTCCTCCCTCCCACTGATGGGCTTGGCAGGTGCACTTCGGCCATGAGAACTGGAACATGGCTGGGTCCTCATTCAACTGATGTGGCATGCTTGGCGCAGCGACAGCTTTGCCCTGTGGACTGACTGGGAAGCTGGCACATAATTAGCCATTCTAAGGTGTTGAGCATGATGATTGGGATTCGGATGGCCGTTGGGCGCTCTGGGTGCCTTGGCAAATCGCAGGGCTTGAACTGCGCCAAGCTGCGTGGTGGCGCAATCAAGAGGGGGAAGCCGCAGGCATGAAATGCAGAGAGAACTTCAACCCGTGGACTTCATCATGAAGGACCGACAGCTCCCAGCCTAGCAAGTACCAAGCGGGGGCTTGCACATGCTTGGAAGAGAGAGTTGGCAGCCGAGCAGGGGGCAGTCAAAGAATGAACTGAGGCACCCGTGTTGCCACCAGCAGTCGCAACAGCATGCATTCTCGGTTTGCACAGTGTGGCCGCTTCATGTTTGCGCCAATCAGCTCGTGGAGTTTGCTTGTTTGGCACTGCGTTGTCAGCGCCGCGCTCCTGGCGCATGGATGGTATGTTGCCCAAACGCTGAGATGATGTCATGTGGTTGCCCAGATGTTGCCAGCTGAAAGGCCATGGCCCTTTGAGCACAAAGGCCCCCGCCACTATAATAGACAACTAAGGGACTGGATCCAAGTAGCAAAAGGCATGGATATATGAGCGAGAGGACAAACTCTCTATGACAAGAGCCATGGATTTGAAGAAACACATGTGACGCGATGTAGGGACCTTCCAACACGTGGCGGGCTGAAAGTTCCAAGGTGGCTGGCTGTCCAGGAGTCAGGCTATCAACTGTAGCTTTGTGATGCGCCAGGCCTTCTGCAACCGACTTCGGCTCCAGTTGGGCCCATGAATTCCAGATACCAAGATGCACTCACCGAGCTTGGCCCAGAAAAGCAACACGGTATTTCAGAAATTTCAGACGTGTGATCAGACAGAGCACCAGCCACCGCTTTACGACTTCGGCTGCCCGGGCCTTGCGCGTAACCTGCGCTTTCGCCTGGAAGTGAACGGCAGGTGGCCTAAGGCAGATGCCAGGGTTATGCCTTAGGATGCCTAGTGCTTGAAGCTTTGCGCGCCCAGGTTCACAGAGCCGAGCTTTCCGTGCAATGGCGGAGGCTCGCGAGTTTCGGTTTTCGTTTGAAGCGATGACTAAGACGGCTGTTCTCCCCTGCCACCTTAGGAAGAGCCCTTCGATCCGTGGGCAACTGCCGCGGCAGATGGGACCTCTGCGGCGCTTATGCAAAAAGCCAAGAAGAAGCCACTTGGCCTGCACCATGCTGAACTTCAGGTCTTAGCAGCTAGCATGCTTGGGAATCTGGGAGGAACTGGTGCAACTGGTGCCTGTGAGAATGATTTGGGCAAGCTGCGTTCCAGGGATGCCTGGGGAAGCTTCAAAGCGGGTGAAGCAGAACCCCTGAGCGAATCAGAGGCAACGAAGCCAGGAAAGCAAGGCAGGGGACTCTTGCAGTGGGCTGCGGGGCTGAATCAGGCTTGGCAATTGCTGGGAACTCCGCCCAAGTGCTCACAGTTTTCGTCCGGTTTTCCTGCCACGCCATCCAAAATCGGGAGCTTTTGAGAGAATGCAGAATGGTGATGTGAGGAACCAGTCCGACTGAGTGGAGGGCAGTGCATGGACCAGACATTGCCTGCCAGGAGCCAAGAAGAAGAAAGGAGCTATCGATGGAAAGAAGGCGACGTTGCAAAAGATACTTGAAGCGACAAGTGCATCCCATTTTTACTGTACGCGTATCTATATGTATATATTATATATCTGTGTATATTTTTAAATATATATATATATATATACACATGTATTCCACGGATGACTGTCATGTGTTGTGCGTCACGCCGAAGGGGCCCCGCACCTGAACTCGTGATTTGCGAGCCATTTGAGTGAAGCCATGTGTCCGCAGGTGGGTCCATCTGGGCCGAACCTGGCGAGAAAGAGTGCTCTGGCAGACTATTGGGTGGGCATTGGCATTGGGGCCCGGCATGGGGTTTAATACGGTTTTAATTGAATCCCGAATGGCTGTGCTTAGGAGTCACCGACACAAAGATCGGTGGCATCGTGGACTCGTGGACCAACTCCTATGGTAGCTGGGCATCGAATCATGCAAGCCAGATGTTCGAGCGGCGACCAGCAGACACCCATGCGCTTGGATAACCGATGCCAACAGTCCGTGAAGAAAAAAGACCCAGTACAATTCTTGCGGGCCGCCACCTTTCACGTGCGGTCGCCGCTTCCGTGTCTTCTGAGGTTGGATTCGGCCCTTCCAGCATGTAAACCACCCAAAGGCTGGAAAGCACGGAGGCATGGGGATGTGCGATACATAGTCGCAGCACATGGATTAGCATTTTGTCTCTAGACTCGGCCGCTTGATGTGTCGGAATGTTTGCGTCACCAGGGAAGATCTACATTCACGGCAAAGATGTGAAGGGCATGGGGCTGCTTGCCAAGCATTTGGCAATGTTAGCCGTGTCAATTCAAGGGTTGGGCAGTGCTGTTTCGTGCCATGTTGTTTGTATGAGCTGGGCCTCAGTTGGAGGTGCCTGGGCTGATGCGGGATGACCATCTTTTTTTTTGGGGTGTCAATCAACAAAAACCTTTTCGGTATCAAACAAACACTAAATTAGCAATCAAACAACTACTTCTCATAATGACTCTGTATTGCAAATATGCTTGTGGTCCGGTGGTCCTTTGGTCCTTTGGTCTTTTGGTCCTTGTGTCCTTTGTTCCCCCGAGCCTTTCCTTTGGTTCGTTGGTCCGTCGGTCAGTCGGCCCTTTTGTCCTTTGGTCCCATGGACCCTTTGTCCTTCGTTTGGTCTTATGTTCTTTTTTGTCCGTTGATCCTTTGGTGGGAAGTGTTGTTTGTTGGTTGGTTGGTCGGTCGGTCGGTCGGTTCGTTGCCTGCCTGCCTGCCTGCCTGCCTGCCTGCCTGCCTGCCTGCCTGCCTGCCTGCCTGCTTGTTTATTGGGCTGGGCAGTGGCATGTAGCATCATTTTTTTCGAGAATCAGGGGAGGGGGTGCCGCCCCCCCAACCCCCCCACCCCCCGGCTGCTTTTTAGACATTTTAACCCAACCCGAATGCTTGCAAATCTCACACGAATTAAAATGCACCCCGAGTTAAATCATCGCTTTCTCCAACATGGGGGACTGCCGCCCCCCCCCCCCCCAGGCTGCTTTGTAGAAAGCTTGCACAGAATTACATGCACCCTTAGTTGAATCATCCCATTTTCGAGCATCATGGGGCTGCGGCTGCAGTCACTTATTTGTTTTCTCTTGGTGGGGGGGGGCTGCTTCCATAAGCCCGCCCTAACGACCCTTTGCCACCCTGAGCTTACAACTCGCCCGAAACGCACCCTAAACTACCAACGCCTGCCCAAAACCCACCGTAAGCTCACCCTAAAACTGCCCTAAACTCCCACAGACCCTCACCCCTCCCCGAACCCACCCTGAACCTCCCCCAAACTCCTTAAAGCCGACCCTAAACTGAAACAAAAAACGCACACACACACACACCTTGTGGCAGGACGGTCGCATTTGACCCTACCTCAACGTGGTCGCATTTGACCCTACCTCACGATGAGGTAGGGTCAAATGTGACCGGAGGTAGGGTCGTATGTGACCGGGACCCCTGTTCCGTTGTAACAACCATGCAACTGAAGAGCCTCTTTTTTGACAGTGAGTTAGGGTCAAATGTGACCGGTGCGTTTCGCGTGGCCCTGCCGTGGAATTGGAACGCAGCATTCGATGTATCTAACGATCCAGTAGGGACAAAGGTGACCGGAGGCAGGTCGTATGTGACCGGGGCCCCTGTTCCGTTGTTAAAAACGAGCAACTCAAGGGCCTCCTTTTTAAGAGTGAGGTTGGGTCAAATGTGACAGGAGCCTTTTGTTTTGTTATGGAAGGATGATCGCGTATGTTAGTTCTGTTGTTGGAGGCAATGTGCACCAGATGTGGTGACTACCTCAAGAAGTGACAGCAAGCCAGAAACCCTAAAGTGATGCGGTGACTACTTCAAGAAGTGACAGCGCAGCAGCGACCCTAAAGTGATGTGGTGACTACCAAAAGAAGTGGCAGCAAACCAGAAAACCCTAAAGTGATGTGGTGACTATAACTGAAGTGACAGCGCAGCAGAAACCCTAAAAGTGATGTGGTAACTACCTGAAGAAGTGACAGCTAAACCCTAAACCCTAGAGTGATGTGGTGACTATACCTGAAGTGACAGCGCAGCAGAAACCCTAAAAGTGATGTGGTAACTGCCTAAAGGAGTGACAGCGCACCAGATGTGGTGACTACCTCAAGAAGTGACAGCGCAGCAGCAACCCTAAAGTGATGTGGTGACTACCTAAAGAAGTGACAGCAAACCAGAAAACCCTAAAGTGATGTGGTGACTAAAACTGAAGTGACAACGCAGCAGAAACCCTAAAAGTGATGTGGTAACTACCTGAAGAAGTGACAGTAAACCCTAAGCCCTAGCGTGATGTGGTGACTATACCTGAAGTGACAGTGAGTGATGTGGTAACCCTACCCTAAAGGAGTGGCAGTGCACCAGAAACCCTGAAAGTGATGTGGCGACTACTTCAAGAAGTGACAGCGCAGCAGCAACCCTAAAGTGATGTGGTGACTACCTAAAGAAGTGACAGCAAACCAGAAACCCTAAAGTGATGTGGTGACTATAACTGAAGTGACAACGCAGCAGAAACCCTAAAAGTGATGTGGTAACTACCTGAAGAAGCGACAGCGCAGCAGAAACCCTAAAGTGATGTGGTAACTGCCTAAAGGAGTGGCAGCGCACCAGAAACCCTGAAAGTGATGTGGCGACTACTTCAAGAAGTGACAGCGCAGCAGCAACCCTAAAGTGATGTGGTGACTATAACTGAAGTGACAACGCAGCAGAAACCCTAAAAGTGATGTGGTAACCACCTGAAGAAGTGACAGCCAAACCCTAAACCCTAGAGTGATGTGGTGACTATACCTGAAGTGACAGCACAGCAGAAACCCTAAAAGTGATGTGGTAACTACCTGAAGAAGTGACAGCTAAACCCTAAACCCTAGAGTGATGTGGCGACTATACCTGAAGTGGCAGCGCAATAGAAACCCTAAAAGTGATGTGGTAACTAGCTGAAGAAGCGACAGCGCAGCAGAAACCCTAAAGTGATGTGGTAACTGCCTAAAGGAGTGGCAGCGCACCAGAAACCCTAAAGTGACGTGGTGACTACCTCAAGAAGTGACAGCAAGCCAGAAAGCCTTAAAGTGATGTGGTGAGTACCTAGAGATTTGACAGCAAACCAGAAAACCCTAAAGTGATGTGGTGACTATAACTGAAGTGACAGCACAGCAGAAACCTTAAAAGTGATGTGGTAACTACCTGAAGAAGTGACAGCTAAACCCTAAACCCTAGAGTGATGTGGTAACTATACCTGAAGTGACAGCGCAGCAGAAACCTTAAAAGTGATGTGGTAACTACCTGAAGAAGCGACAGCGCAGCAGAAACCCTAAAGTGATGTGGTAACTGCCTAAAGGAGTGACAGCGCACCAGAAACCCTAAAGTGATGTGGTGACTACCTCAAGAAGTGACAGCAAGCCAGAAAGCCCTAAAGTCATGTGGTGACTAACTAAAGAAGTGACAGCAAACCAGAAAGCCTTAAAGTGATGTGATGACTATACCTGAAAGCGACGTAAAAGCCTCAAGACCTAAAGTGACGCATTTGGCAAGAAACCGTCAGGTAGGGTACCGTCAAATGCGACCGGTGCGTTTCGCGTGGCCCTGCCGTGGAATTGGAGCTTGATGCTGCCATCATCTCGTTGCCAGCTGGCAATGTTGCTCGAACGCAAAGAAGGGTAGGGTCGCTTGTGGCCGGCGCGTTTCGCGTGGCCCTGCCGTGGAATTGGAACATAGTATTGCCACTTGGCACTGATTTTAAGCCCAAAGTAGGGTAGGGTCAAATGTGACCGGTGCGTTTTCGCGTGGCCATGTCGTGGAATTGGAGCTTGATGCTGCCATTTCTTTGCCAGTTGGCCATGTTGCTTGAGCCCAAAGTAGGGTAGGGTCAAATATGACCGGCGCGTTTCGCGTGGCCCTGCCGTGGAATCGGAACATAGTACTGCCATTTGGCACTGATTTTTGAGCCCAAAGAAGGGTAGGGTCAAATGTGACCGGCGCGTTTCGCGTGGCCATATCGTGGAATTGGAGCTTTACGCTGCCATTTTGGCATGGTTTTTGAAGCCAAAGTAGGGTAGGGTCAAATGTGACCGGCGGGTAGGGTCGTATGCGACCGTCCTCCCCACACCAGCCATCCTTTGGTCCCCGTTGTCCTTAGTCCTCGATGTTTTGATCCCGGTCCCTTCATTCCTCCTCCGGTCTCCTAGTCCTTTGGCCCGTTCCAATCAGTTCTTGGTTGCCTAATCATTGCCCTTCTTGGAACTTCGCTCCGTGGCTTTCGGTGCTGGTAGTCTTGTCCCCTGGTCTCATGGCCCTTTCGTCCTTTTGTCCTCCGCCTCCCTGGCCCTTGCGAAACACCCTGTTCACCTGGCTCCAAGCGAATAGTTTGTTTTTTATTGCTGAACAAGTGTTTATTTGATTGCTAAAACAAGTTGTTTTTTATTGTTAAAAAAGGCTTTGATACCCGGCTGATGCGCTGAGGTTTTTGCCCATGGGCATGCCTGTAGAGTTCTATGTCTTCGAGGATGATGCGGGCCTCGGGGCAGAGGAATGCACGTTGTCAGAGGGGTGCCCTAGCTGCAAAAAGCCCAGCCACGGCCTTGGCGCACTGGCTAGTGAGAGCGTGGTGAACTGAGGAAGGGCAAAGGTGGCGGCAAGGGGTGGGGGTGGGACAAAGGCGGCTGGGACATGGGCAAGGGCTGGGACATGGGCAAAGGATGGGACATGGGCAAAGGCTGGGGCGGCGGCAAGGGGTGGGATGGAAAGAAAGGCTGGGATGGCAAAGGACCGACACGTGCAAGCCCTGCAAGCTGTTGCAATCCAGAACGGTGCCTTGAATGGCCTCGGTGGTGCTGGTGCAGGAGGGAAAGGGAAAGATGGCAAGGGAGGCAAGGGCGAGTCGCTTGGCTTGAAGTCTCAGCACCAGACTTGGTGTCAGAGAGGTGCTTTCCGTTCGCCGAGAAAAGGAGCTGCGTTCGTTGCTTGCTTGTTTGGCATGGCCCGCCTTGTGCAGCTGGCGGCAAAGGTGGGGTGGCAAGGACCGCAAAGGACGGACGGGTTACCAATTGGCCGATTCCGGCATTTGGCGAATGCTGTCATGTGCTTCTTGAATCACCTCGAAGACCCCCAACTGCTTCATTTGACGCTGGGTACCCGCCACAGGAAAAGGTGACAGACAAGACGGTAAAGGCAGTCGTGGCAGCGGTGGCAGCATCCATTGTGTTTCAGATTCGTTTTGAAGCTGGTGACCAACCCTGTGCTTGGATTTATAATTAAGGCGGCAAAGACCAAGGGAAAGGCAGGTCCAAAGGCCGCTTGGCTGACCCCCCCCCCATTTCCCATTTCTCTTGAAGCTTTCAGGCCCCAATGAGCAGAGCGGCTGGAATGCACGCCGGCTCTAGACATGCTTGCTTACCGCGCAGCCAAGGCCCTCAGGAGGCCAAAGATTCAGGTGCCAGTGGTGCCAGCTCAGCAATTAGCTTGTGGTGAGGCATGGTATTCGCGAGTGAGGGATGCCCAGGTGCCCAGGCTGCGGCCTCTGGGGAGGCGGGCACAAGGAAATCTGTCAGAGCTCGAGAGGACCACAAGCCAGTGCAGCCAAACGCGGTTCAAAGCCGGTTTGGCTATTAAGCTCTCCTTTGCAGGCCAAGCAGGCCAATGGCATTTTAACCAATGACCAATTTATGTCAGCTCTGAGAAGCTTCGCGCGTATTGCGCAGTTTGCTAAGCAACCTGCAGCCGTTATCATTTCTCGCAGGTCCGCGCGGACTGGTCAGCCTACACCGGCGGCCTTGCACCTGGCCAAGGCCAGATTGCAGTCGACCAGCGTTGAACTCAAACAATACAGCACGGTTTTTTCCATCTCAACGTGTGCTTCGGGGTGCCCGCCGGGGCGCTTGCAGGCTATGCCGCGGCTAGCGGATCGAAAGGTTCTCAGGCACGGGGCGAGCCGTCAGCCGAGCAGAGTTTGGGCTTGCGATGTGGAAAGTCTCGCAAGGCGGAGCCATTGCTTTGCAACTAGGGCAATTAGCTAAGTAGCAGGGAAGTTCTCTTCAAGAACTAGGCAATGCAGCTGGGCTCGAAACCTGAACTGTAGAGTCGGCCTAGCCAGTGATGGTGGTTCAATGGGGCATCCTAGGCTGTGCCGGCATTGCCGAGAAGTTTTGCATGTCTGTCGGCCGCGTAGACACCGCCTCGGTGGCCGCGGTAGCTTCCAGATCCGTCGAGAAAGCTGAGAAGTTCATTGCAGACAACTGCCCTGGGGCGAAAGCCTACGGATCCTACGAGGACACATGGCCCGAGTTGGCACCTGGCCTTTGCCATTCCTTATGTGATCCCTTGTTCCAAGCCCTCTTTAGCACAAAGGATTGCCTAACACTCACTTGGGTGGGAAGAAAGCCATTTGCAGGATCTCCTAGCAGATGCTGGCATCCAGGCCGTGTACATCCCGGTGCCTACTGGGCTGCGCACAGATGTGGTGATGAAGGCCATCGCGGCCAAGAAGCACGTCTTGGTGGAGAAGCCGATGGCGAGCGTGGCCGAGACCAAGCGCATGATCGACGCGTGCAAGGCGGCCAAAGTCCAATTTATGGACAACACCATGTTTGTGCACAACAAGCGGCAGGATGCCATGCGCAAGATTTTGGATGACGGAGAGCTTTTCGGACAGCTGAAGCATGTGCACTCAACCTTTAGCATTGGCGTTGGCCTCGATGAGAGTTGGGCAGAGCAGAACATTCGCATGAAGAAAGCCCTGGAGCCATTGGGATGCTTGGGCGATTTGGGATGGTACAATACTCGATTCACACTTTGGGCTTTCAATTATGCATCGCCAGTGAGTGTATCATGCAATGTTATAGAGCACACTGAAGAGAATGTGCCCACACATGTTATGGCACAGATGCGTTTTGAGGGTGGCCGAACTGCCAGCTTCATGTGCTCATTCAGATGCGCGTTCCGCCACAATGCGGAGCTGTTCGGTGAACACGCCACGGTTTCACTTGAAGATTTCGTGGTTGCTTCAGTGCTCGACACGGCCAAGTTCAAGGTGGTCCGAACCGGTTTCGGGCCGAAAGCCGAGACCTTCCCGGTGGAAGTCGTCAAGGACGAGGAAGTTTCGAGCGGTGTGCAGCATGACGCCGTGGTGGAGACGTTCTCTTCGATGGTGGCATCAGGTCAGGTTGACGACATGTGGCCACAGCAGACCCTGCAAACGCAGACCGTGCTTGATGCCATGGTCCTGTCCGCCGCGAGGAGTGGTGCTTGGGTATTGCCCCTTAGCAAAATACATCTTTTAATAGGTCATGTCCTACGCTGTCAAGGGTCGGTTCAGGTGTTCGGTGCCGCTTGCGTGTGTCAGTGTTTAGGCCTGGGAAGCCACCATGGGATTGCCGCGCTTTGCGACAGTAAAGCTGTTAAGTGTCTTTGTGTTGGTTTGGCGCTTCCAGCCGAGGCTGTCTGAGGTGACTCCAGCGTGATCTGAAGTGGCTCCCGCTTAGTTCACCGGTACAGCAACGCGAGCGGTGCATAATCACCAGATTTCCAAAAGGCCGTTTGGACAACAGTTGGCGCGGCCTGCGCGGGCTGTGCCCAGAAAGCCGTAATGAGCAACATGTTAGCGGGACCCCAGGGGGGTGGAAGAACTTGATAGTTGGAAGGACACACGTAGGATGCCCTAGTCCCGCCGAGTCGGCGCAGGCTCGAGCTGGGAGAGCCTTGGCAATTCTGGCAGTCACCTGATCGTTGCAGTGGCAATTGCCACAATGAGTTGGTGAGCCTGAGGGCTCGATGAATTCACAAGCTCCGAGGACCAGTTCCCAATGCTACCCCCGTGGCAACTGCAACGCCTCCGCCGCCACCAGCTGGTGGAATGGTGAAGCAGCTTGGAACGATATCGGGGGATCGGGCTGTGCCCCAACAAAAGGGGCAGGTTTTAGGGCGGTTCTGGGGGTGAGGTGAGCAGGGAGCCGAGTCCACAACACAAGTTTGGTAAGAGCAGCGCGGGTCGTGGGCATGGGTATACAAGTTTTGTCCGATTCGGCTTGCATCTTGGGCGTTTTACCACCATCAATGAGGCCTGGTGCGCCAATGATGGCAGCAGGCAGGCCTCTGAGAAAAAGTGTGTGTGTGTGTGCGTGTACGTGTGTGTTTGGGTTTGAAGTGATATACTTTGCTTGGGGTCTGGCATGTGGCAGCCAAGTGCTGGGTGGGAGCGTTGCCCTCGCGCAAGGTGTGTGGACAGAGGCCCGCGTAGCGACGGATGCACCCCCCTGTAAGAAACGATGGGAATATGGGAGTGGGTTTTACACGCGTAGCCCGAACTTAGCGCAGAGGTTTGCAGCCAAGCTCCGGTGCCAGGCGAGTCGGCTCCCAGACCGGCCGGGGCCAGCTCCCTGCGCTCCTTTTGTGCGCCATGGCTTGGAAAAGCTTGGGTGTTTAAGTTCCCCCCCCCCAACAGGCTTACCAATCCTCAAAGTCAAGAGGACACGCTTTTTCTTTTTTTTGTCAGACTACCACTTGTAAATTGCTCACATTCGTCAGCTTAAAGCCATCAGCATAATTTTGGCCCTGGCTCCCAGCCTTGGATAGCGCGGTTGGATCAGATTGAATCACATGGTCTTCAGATGGCTGCGAGCAGGGCCAAAGTTGGTTTGGCCAAGCTCAGGATGAGCAGCGTTGGCACTGCGCCCATGCCAGTTTCTTGTCCGCATTCTCTCGTTGCTCCAGCAGCAGCCTGGCTGGTTGCTTCCTTGTTGTGTCCCCACCCCTCCAGGCAATCAACAGCCTGCACATGAATCAGCTCCCCTATCACCAGCCGCCTTGCTCTTAGGGTGCTTTTTTGATCAACCAGTGCTGAAAGAGACATTGTGCCGAACCTGCTTTGCCCCATCAGCTTTCCTGCATCATGTTTTTGAGGTATGGCATGATGCCTGGCATGGGGCCACCTATGCCTCAGCCCTTGCACATGAGACTCGGCATTTGATGCAGCAACCAGCGTTCCCCCAGGAACAAGGAGGCACGAACAGCCCAACTTTTGCCTTGCTGTGGAACCTTGCCAAGGAACAACCCGGCAGCACTCTCAGACCATGCCATCACTCACTCTTTTCTTTGCATCCATGTGATACTTGCTGTTTGCGGTCGGTTTGAATTCTCATCCACCATTCGCATGGAATAAGCAGAGCGTAAATGACCATGAAAAGGTTTTGATTGACCAAGCCACGGACTTTGACCATGGCACACTTGTCTTGAGTCTTGAGGCTTTGGCTGGCATGTACCCTGGCCATGCTCGAATCTTAGATGTTGGGCACCGTGGACGCAGCTTGCTTGCCTCTGTTCATTGAGGTGCCACCTCCAACACATCCCGGTTTGGCAGGGCCAGGCCGCTTCTTTTGGCATGGTGGTATCATGCTAGAGCTTACACTGCGCGTCAATGGAGGCATGTACGAGGGAGAAGCAGCCTGGCCGGGATGGAATGCTCTGTGAAATGGCGAGAGGCAAGGGTGCATCAGCGCACGTTGCACCCATTCAAGCATTTTGCCAGTCTGCGGGCCTGCTACGCAGTCGGCCCTAGAGGGGGCTGCAAGTCTTTCTCTTGTGAGCCAGGTGGCTACGTATAGATTGCATGGAATGATAGACTCTGCGGCATGCCAGGGCAGTAGAGCTCCAGGCTCGAGTTGGCTAGTCTCCGGCGTTTGTTGGGCAATACCTTTCCTGGGCCAGAATGGTCCTTATCCCTTGTGGCAAGAAGCTGTTACCCCGGGACTCGCAAACAATTCGATAGACTTGCGTGCAGCTGAGTGGCAGGGCCGCAAAGCTAGTGACAGCTGTTGCTGTTGCTGAGTGCCACGATGAGCGCGTCCTTGTGGCATGACTGCTCTGCTGATGACAAGGGGAGCTCATTGCGGCTGGTTGTGCCTTTCTGAAGGCTGTCGCGGGCGGTTGTGTAAATTACCTTCACTTTGGACAATGTCACCTGGCATAAGTATTGCTGACTCGCGGGAAGCAAAGGCATCCCTCCGCACTGCGCCTGTGAGTGCAAGGATTAGACAGGTTTTTGTTTGGCAAGGCTCCTGTCATCTCTTGACCCTGGAAAGGAGAAATTCAGCATCCTGCCGCGGCTTGCGAACATCTTCGACGCCACGGTCTCTAAGCCAGCGCCTCATGTGCTGATATTCGCCGCCCCCCTCGAAAGCCGGGCGGCTCTTTGGATCAATCTGAAGATATCGCTGGGCACAGCCACAACCTGTAGCCACGGGACGGCAGCGAAACGAGCCAAAGCTCTGAGCCCATTTGTCCGAGCTCCGCAACTGAGAGGCGTGTGACTGTGACCCGCTTCATCGATTATGCCCCGATGGTGTTCCAGCTCTGGGCTCAGGTAGTTTGCCATTCGACATGTCTTTGGGACACAAGGCCAACATGTGGCAAACACGAGGGAGTCTATCGGGTCCAGCCCAACAGGAAACAAACCAGTGCAAGTTCCGACTGGCTTTGATGCATTCCGCATGCACGTTGCAGGTTCAAACTGTGGAACCAAACGCTGCCGCTCCTCTCGTACTAGCGTGGAACATTCGCACTTGGTAGGTGGTGCGAGGTGATGCGTTCGCGCGCTGGCGGGGCGGGATTTTGGGCTGCTTCTAGAAACGCTGGTTTTGGGATATTCGGGGTCCTTGTGCGGAGACCTTTGCAGGTCGAAAGGGTGGTGCATAGTTCTGGTGTGTCGTTACGCCAGAGGGGTTCTGTCTGGGTGTGCAGGGTGTCGGCGCAAGATGACTCCCAGATCTTGCTAGGGCCGCCAGGGGAGCTTGCCTGACCTATACTAGTGTAATGTTGGAGCTAGAGATGTCAAATTGCGCTCCATCTGCTACAGGCTTAAAAGTTGTGATTATTCGGCTTGCGCTGGCGCAGGGTACTACGCATACTGCATGTGTAACAACTGGAGCTGTTGAAGCGGACTCGGTGTACAATTTTCTGTGTGCAAACGGGATTTCTTCCAAGGTTTGTATTCTGCGAGGGCTCTGTGCCTTCTTGCTCTCGTGCGTGCACTTTTCCTCCTCAGCTCACTTCTTGTGCTTCTCTCTTTCAGATCTTTTCTCTCTTGCAGGGCATCATATTTGTCCATCAAAACTTCAGCCATGATAGATGTTTCTTACTCAGCGTCCTCACTTAGCCACCTGCCAGAAGGTCCGCTAATCTGGTGCTGGCTCGTGCTGGCTGCTGCCAGGCGAATCCGTGCCAGCTTCGGCATCAACAGCGACGACTACCTGCGGTCCGTCGGCCCAGAACAGTTGCTTGGCAACATGGCCTGGGGCCTAGCGGCGCAGCCTGCGGTGTGTAATGGCAATCAGTGGTGGCAGCCTGCTTACACCTGCATCATTCGGGAGCGCATGGCAAGCAACCCGTGACTTTTGGCAAGGGAGGGGTGGAGTGTCTTCTGTGCACTCTAGCGAACTTCTTTTTGTACGCAGTAGTCGCAGATGCCGCGGTTCCAGAGTTAGAGTTGGATCAAGGTGCTGGGCAACTTGTCATCCCTCTCGGAGTTGTCGTCAGAGGGCAAGAGCCTGGCACCTACAGCCCAAGATGCCCAAGCTGATGGCACCGCCTGCCCTGCCTTGTTTTGAGGCGGCGCGTTCTTTTACTACACGTCCGATGGGAAACTTGGGCAGGCATATGCTGCATGACTTTGTGTCACTCGTGTCAGCGAGGAACAGGCCCCTCAATGCGGTTCCAGGAGAGAATTGGTTCCACATGGCGGCTAAGGAAGTACATGATGAAAACCGTCACGCACAAGGCTCAGCCGACGTGGGCCTTCGGATTTAGCTCTTATGTCCTTCCTGTTTGCAGCCCCTTGGAAAGACGGGCTAAGAACGTTTGAAATCTTTGACAGTCCTCTTCTTGTCCTTGTTGGGACGAACTGTTTTGCAAAGCTACCTTTCACTGCGCAGCGGCAGGAGCAGATGCTACTCAAAAAGATGCTGAAGAAATACTATGCTGCTCGGCCTTTGAATGTCCTGGCCACTTGAGATTCATCAGTCATGGAGGGACAGGCCACTGCTTCCTGCTAGTTCCAAAGGCCGCGCATTCCGGTATGTTCCTTTTTGGGGCCAAATTGCTCTTGACGTCCGGCTGGCGAGTCTGTTGTGTGAGTTCCTGGCCTCTTGGTTCCGCAATGCAGCTCCTTGAGGGTCTAGAAACACTTCTTCAATTGCGGTCGTTCTCTTTGTCCTCTGAAGAAAGCATGCGTGACCCTGTCTGCAACAGATAGGACCTGAATGCGTTACCTTTACCATTGGTTGCATTGATGTATATACCTGGTACTTGGCTCGGGCGAAGTGGACCAGTTGAGCCACCAGTGTGGACAGAAGTGAGTGCAGATAAACCAGCTGGCTGCTACACTTGGACTTGAAATATGTTTGCTGTGTTTGGGCTCCTTTTTGCAGCAAGGACCACATCACGCAGAACCAGGGCACCTTGCTTGTGCGATTTCTGGGCCTGTGCCGGCCAAAGCCGAATGTGGTTTGTGCACGTCAGTTATCGAGCACAAGTAGTCAGCACCTGCTTGTTGGAGCTTCTGATGTCCAAGATGCTTTCAGTCTGCGTTGCTCGCAGTCTGAGGCACTGCCTTAGTGTCCGCAAAGACCGAAAAGCCGGCAAGGCCGCAGCCCGTCCGCTTTGATTGCTGTGATTGATGTGCCTACAGGGCTCTGCGGTGCAGAAGGTCTACTTCGTAGTGGGAAGCTTGATTGGTTGCTGGCGGGTGGATCATTTGCGCTTGGATGTGTGTTGGCAATGTGCGCATGTACGAGGTCATGGGCAACATGTTCAATACTCCCTTTGAAATTCATCGCCGCTATGACTTGAAAGGCGCTGTGGAATGGCATGGGTTGTAAGATTGCGTTGAGCCGTGGCCAGGTTCGTGGATTGGCAGGGTAACGAAGATAGAGGAACCCATTGACCCCAGTGTGGCCCTCAAGGACTTGGGGTGGAAGTCGTGGTGTCCCTTGTGGTTGCACTGGGCATGTTGGTGACAGGTGAATCAATCCCAGTTTGCAATGCCGAACTCATGTCTCACACTCGGCCACCCAGACATGCAGAAGCACTCGCATCACACTCACACTCTCACTCTCACTTTCACTTACACTCACACTCACACTGACGTACTTACTTTCTTCCTTCCTTCCTTCCTTCCTTCCTTCCTTCCTTACTTGCTTAAAACACATTTTGCTGATAACGTGTGCTCGCTGGCGGCATGTGCACGCAAGCGCAGTAAGCGCACAGGTGCGCACAATCATAAGTAGGAGTGTATCTTTGCAGGGAGGCAAGGTCTTGTGCTACATGTTTCCGGCCCCCTCTCCACGCGAAACAATCAGCCAACCAGGCCGCCAAGCATCCAGTCATCCAGTCATCCAGGCAGCCAGCCAGCCACAGCCAGCCAGCCCTCCAGCCAGCAAACCAGCAAGCCAGCAAGCCATCATCCGTCCCGACATGGTACGCTACACCCAACGCACTGGTCGATGCGTTCGTGCAGGTCATTATTTGTGCGCTGGGCTGTTGAGTTGTTGAGCTGTGGGGTTGTTGGGCTGTTGGGCTGCTGTTGGGCTGTTGGGCTGCGCGGCTTGTTGGGCGTTGAGCCCTTGTGTTGGGCTGGGCTGTTGTGTTGCTGGGCTGCTGGGTTGGCCGTTGGGTTGTTGGGCTGCCGGGTTGTTCTGTTGGGCCGCTGGGTACTTTGCTGTTGGGTGAAGGACAAAGGGTTTAGGGTTTAGGGTTTGGTTGGTCTGTTGGGCTGATGGGCTGTTGGGTGTTGGGCTGTGTTGGGTTGTTGGGCTCTTGGGTTGTTGGGCTGTTGGGCTGTTGGGCTGGTGGCCTGCGTGTATGTTCAGTTCAAGACATGCGTCAGTTGCATGTTTGCATGGCTTCCAGGACGTGGACTTCACCAATGCCGGTGAGTGCATTCGAGTTGGTGAGGAGCGCAAGGCAAAGCTTGTGGCGCAGATAGAGCGGGATAGCCCGCTGCCCAGAAGTCATGTCTTATACCATGCCCGGCCTTTCCAAACACTGAGGTGCATTCCTTAGAGACAACAATATCATTGACTATTCGCTGCTCCTCGGAATTTATGAGACTGAGCCTCAGAAATTGCAGGGATCTCACGGATGTGCAGTTCGAACCGCGGGATACCATCAGAATTTATGGGGCACAGCTAGCGGTGCTGTGTCTTGAGGCTCACATCTCAGGGCTCCGATGACAAAGGCACGGGCCAGGGCTCGGCATGGCCCCCTCAGACAGGCTCAGCGCATTGAAGCGAAATAAAGCAGATATGGGCTATCTAGTCTTGATTGATTCCTCGTCTGAGCACCGGAGGGAGCATGTGTTCCGGCCACGGTTTGCATGGACATAATTACCTGCTGCCTAATTGCCAAAACGTGCCCAACGAGCAGCCGTGCAGGCGCTGAGGCGAAAGCATCAGATAGCGTGAGACGCCCAGCCTAGAGCTTGAGCGAGCATGATATGGCGCCCTTGCTGAAAGTCCTCCTGCCATCCTATGGCAGGCCACCGCGGACGCTTCAGGCTTGATTGTGTTGTGCACCATGCGTTTTTGGGGCCCTTGCTGCCAGGTGACCACGGTGGGGAGTCCTGCCTTGGGCCAGCACCTTAAGAGCTCGCGCACTGCGTGGTACGGGCAATTTCTGAACGCAGTGTGAAGCAGAGCGCAGCTGCAAGGTTGAGAGGCGCTATAGCAGCGACAACCACTGACATCACTGTGACTTAGCTGCAGTGCCTCGAGCTGTTGCGGCCCACAGGCATCGCAGCTCGTTTGTAACAAGTGATTCTCCGGCCGGAGATTGAGTAGCCCACGACATGGTTGATCTTTGCACCCTTGACCTGTGGATTTTGGCTTCAGGTCAAGTTGTCTCCGACAGAGGAATTTAGCCATGGGGAGGTCGTTAGCTCAGCGCGGCGGCACTGCCTTTGGTTTATTTCAGAAGCCGGCCTTCCAAATGGCAGGTTTCCTGTTTCTTAAGGCTTCCTTTCAGTTTCAGATATTGAGAATGAGTTTCAGCACTCCCAAGCCTAGCTCTGGCAATTTGGCGCCCAGGTGCCCATTCACCAGGCGCACATGGGCGGCATGCTGTCCTCAGATCAGAAGGCTGGCTGACTCGCGCTGGCATTCTATTGTATCCTAGCCACGCGACAGGTGCTGTACTTCCTCGGGATCATTGACATACTTACACCCTATGATGGTCGGAAGCACTTGGAGCATTGGTTTAAGGCGTGGCTTGCTCTCGTGGAAGCTTTGCAGCAAGCGTTCGCCTGAGCTAAGAGTGCTGGGGATGATGCTGTTCGGCGTGCTGAAGCTGTTGGCGCTGTTGGTACCGGGTACTGGTGGCACAGCACCGGGGTGATTTGCGGGTTCTGGTAAGTTCTGGCGCAGGGCTGGTGCGTTGCTGGTGTAGGCCGCTGGTGCAGGCCGCTGGTGCGGGCTGCCGGTGCACGATGCAGGGCACAGGGCAGGATGCTGGCGTAAGATGCTAGCACAGATGGTTTTGCCAGGGAGTGCTGGTGCCGGGTGCTGGTGCAGGGTGCTGGATAGAGGGCGTGGTGTGGCTGCAGGATGTCTTTTTCCCTGGGCTTCCTGACTTAAAGGATGATTCTGATCAGGTCTTGTTGTAGGCTCCCCCGAAAAGCAAAGCCAGGCATTCCCAACTGACCTGAAACTCAAAATTTGAAGTTCGGCATTTCATTTCTGTCCAGTTCACATTCTGAAACATGTGCAGGCGATACGCTATGACTCGAGAGGAGTCTCTTGCTGCCCTCCTGGAATGTATGCTGAACGCTTTAGCACGTTCATGCGCAATGCCATTGCCTGAGGGGTGCGCATGGTGCGCATAATCACCAGGTTCTTGGTGTTGAATATTGTTTCACCTTTCACCTGCAGGGCCCAAAGTTCTAATGCCGCAGAGATCGCGGCTGCTTTCAAAGCTTCCCCAAGAACACTTGTAGGCCCTGCAGTAAGCACTGGGCTCGACGCAGCTCGAAAATTCAAGGCTGAATCAAAGGCCTTGGCATGCGCGAATCATTCTCGAAGCTTTTGTGGGAGGTGGCCGGCGCTGGTTCTGTACCTTGAAAATGCATCCTTGGATATGACACATGCCACCCACCCCACAAAGGTTTCACGGAGTGTGTCGTTGCAGCTAGTTTCAGACTTATTTCACCTTCCGCAGGCTGTATGGGAGGAATCACCGACCCGCTCTACGTAAAGACGCTTCCCTTAAGTTCTAGAACCATGCGAAAACACCTTAAACGGCGGAAGAACGAATTTGAGTCACGGCTGATTTTGCATGCTTTGGAGTATCTAAAGGCAACCGATGACCACATGAGAATGAGAGGCTTGCCAGCAAGCCTTTGGCCTACTCAATGCGTAACATTTTTGGTTGGCTTGCGCATGAGCAACTCCAGTGATTCCGCAATGTTTTCAGTGTAGCCTTCCGTAGTGTTCCCATACTCCTTCCATAGTATTTCCATGGTCTTTCACCGTGTTGCAGTCATCCTGTAGTCTTGTCAGAGTCCTTCTGTAGTCCAATCAAGAATCTTTCCGTCTTGTGGCGTCTTCCCGTAGCCTCGCAGTATTTCCCTAGTCTTCCCATAGTCTGTCTGTAGTCTTCCATAGCGTTCCTCTAGACCTCACATACGGTGAACTCAGGGTCATAGCCCGCATAATGGGTTTTGACTCAGCTCACATGGCCTTTCTGCAGTCTTCACGTAGACTTCTGGTATATCTAGTCCGCCCATAGCCTGAACTACCACCGATAAGCAAGGAAAACACTAAATAGCAGTCTCTGTAGGGTGGCATAAGGTAAAAGCACTTCGACACGCTTTTCTCCCATTCCAGTACCCGCATGGGGCTCTCCCAAGTGCTCGCTGCATGTTGCAGACCTGTCAGCCGTGGGAGGTGCATCCGTACAGGTTTAATCCTGGCTAGATGCGAGCCAAGCTGAGCTGCTTAGCAGGTCAGGCTTGGGTGTACAGCAGGCGCAGGGCACCAAGAGTTGTGCCGAATCCGGAAGGAAGAATGCTGGGGGACTCGATGCTACACTGTTTCATGGCCAAGCTGCCGGTGCATAGCTCACAGATGCCCAATGTGCTCAAGTGAAACTGCAGCACCTGACTTATGCATGAGACCCTGATGGGCAGCGCAATGTATCTGTGCTACAAGCGCAAGGGTGCACGCACATCAAGCATCCTTTCCAGGGCTGAGTTTTGAACACTGAAAGCCCTATCTTTACTCGCAAAAGCAGCCTGTACAAGGTTCCAAGGTTCATTCCACTAAGCCGAAAGCACACTTGAAGCGCCCCTTGGGCAGTCGGGATGTGATTGTCGTGGAGCGATGGCAAATGCAGATGCCATCTATCAACACCTTTATTGGTACCTGAACACCACGCCCACTCCGCAGGGCAAGCTTGAAGCTGACTTTGGTGAATCACAAGGGCCCCAGGCCCTGTACGCGAAGCACCGCCCAGCAAGCACTCCAACCCGAGCAACAGCAACAGCTGCTCCAGCTAAGCCCAAAGCCGAGGCAGAGGCCAAGGAGGCCAAGGAGGCCAAGGAGGCCAAGGAGGCCAAAGAGGCCAAAGAGGCCAAAGATTCCAGGGACTCGGATTTGCAGGTCCTGATCAGGTACCTGGAGGAGGAGGTCACAGACAAAGCCCTGGAGCAGCGGGCCGAAGCCTGGAAGTCAGGGGTTTCTGGGCTGCTGACTCGGCGAGGCATGGAGGGCCAAAACGCCCTGGACACCTACGTGGCTGAGATTGTGGCGGCCCTGCGGGACTTTCCCTACCTCAGCTTGCCGCAGGGTAGGGATGCTGGACGCTGGGTCCGGGATGAGATTGTGGCGCAGGTCTTCGAGGATCACTGGGACTTTTACAACAACAAAAAGCTCAAAGGTTTTGACTTGGAAGAGTTTTGCCAGCTGCTCGCAGGGCAGAACATGCTCATAGACAGGCTGCGGCATGCCCAACGGGCCTTAGACAACTGAGTCCGATTGTGCGCTCATAGGCAGCTTACATTTGGTGCCATTGGACAAATCGTGCATGCCTGGTGGCTGACTGGTTGCTTGGGTGATGCAGGTGCAAGGCAGCAGTTCGTGCATGCCAGCGTGCGTCTGTTTAGTATGTCAGGCTGCCAGCATGGCAAGGCATGCCATGGCACATTGAGTGCTGGCAATTCGACACACCGCCGATCGCAACATATTGCAACCCTGCCCTCCCCATAGGTCATCACTCCAAGCTTAGGGGAACGGCTGGCACAGGTCAAGGCACGCGGCATGGGCATCGCCCTTTTGCCATGGCAGCCTGCAATGTCGCGAACGTCAAGGTGCGTGGCAGTGTCTTTGTGCAACAGTCAGGCGTTGGGCCATTTGGTTTTCAGGTTGGGAGTTGTAAGAGACAAATCCACGCGGTCCAACGTAACTGCAAGGAAACTGCACCTTTTTGATTGCCACCAGATTTGTCCCAAAGAGGCCTTGCTTGAGCTTTGTTCGTGGGGCTTGGACCGAAAGTTAGTTGGGGCACAGCAAGCGGCTCGGCTCCCGCCTGTTCGGGTTGGATTGTTTTCTGCATGCCCGCCATGCGTCGTTTACAATAGGTATAATACGGTCGTCGGATGCATGCCCCGCCTGTTTGGACTTTCCGTTTTCTTCCTGGTTCGCCAGCTTCAGCTGGGCTCATGGACAATACCAACAAAGAATAAATAGGACCTCGACAAAGCCGGGGGGGGGGGGTTGGTTCATTCTTCCGTTCCTGGCAGCAAAAAAGGAGGACGAAGGGTTAGCTGTCCTTGCGAGTGATGCCAGCTTTTGGTTTGCCCTCTGAAGTCCAGGTGGTGGAGGGCGCAGAGCTTGCCAGAGCCTGGCCCTTGGCAAGGTGATTTGACAAGGGTCAGGCGGTGTGGATTGCCCTGCTGAAGCCACGAAGGGACCAGACCAACATCCCACAGGAATTTGGACCTTGGTACGGAGAAGACCATCCCTCATACGGATGCAAGTCGGATCGCATCTGCAGAATTCTGACCTCCGGCTAATTCCAAGGTGTCGGATGATCTCGTCTTCGAGGCCAGGTGCGCTCGAAGCGTGAAGCACTGGATGCCAAGCGCGTTCTTGCAGGCTTTGGCTTGATACCTGCAGGATTGCAGCTAAATGGCCAGTGCCATTCCAGCCTTGAGCTTTTGGCGTGCAGGTGACTCTGGATGTGGCGCATCCGTTGAAGGAAGACTTGGTATTCCGATGTGTGTACATTTCAGATGGTTCAGGCCCAGCTTGCCAATCTTGTGTTTTCCACACCTTGGCCTCCTTGGCACAGGCGAGGAGGTGGAATTGGAATCCATTGATGTTGGGGATGGGCCAGGCTTGCGTCAGGCTTGGCTTGGGCATCTTACGAATTCTGAGCCTCAGCTCCAGCACTTGTAGTGTGATGGTAGGGCTTCCTCAAGTTCAACTTTGAGTCCAACCCACCGTCGCAGAAGGATGTCGAGGCCGGTGACGCGCAGAAAGAGCGCTTGTGGGGAGAAGCACTCTCACACAGTCCAGGAACTTGCATTCTTGTTTATCCAGAGTTCACTTCGCAGGCAAGTGGAGGGCCGCTGGAGGTGGCAGCTTAGACAGCAGATAGATTCCGTACATTGCTAGTGGATATAGACGGTACTCAGATTCTTGCTGCGCACTGCGATCAAGGCTGGCCTGTTTCTGGCCGCCCTCTACCAAGGAAGGTGCTGTTGCTATGGAGCTTTCGCATGCAACATTGGGTTGTCCATGATGCACCGTGCCTTCGTGGCTGCCGCCTTCGGCATTTGCACAGATAGGACAGGAATTCTGCAGAGTTGGCTACTTTGTGCAACTCGTCTCAGGAGTTTTGGGCTGACACCAAGTGAGCCACAAAGGCTCTAGGTGCATGTTTCGCTGGTGCGCTGAGGAGATATGAGTACGACGACCCCGAGCTGCAGGCCCAACTTAGACTGCCAAGCGTCGCTGCTGAATGTAGCATGTCAGGAGAATCCTCCGGAAAACGTAGATTGGAGTCGGCTGCACCGGGTGTTAGTCTCAGACTTGTGCTCCGGAGCTATGAGCGGAAGCTCTCGAGGTGCTCAGCCCGCCTCGTGTCACAAAGTTCGCCATTCCCTGGGATTCCCAGGCGCCAGAAGGGCTGGGAGCAAGCGACGTGCACATCTCATCCATCTCATCCCTGTTCTTCTTTTTTTTTTTTTTTTTTCATTGAAACATGGCAATGGCCATTGGCATTTGACAGGATGTCGGGGAGAGCAATGCTCTGCCGTAGTGGGGGCGGTGTTTCACAGCATTGGGAATGGTCTGAATGCCAGACGCGTGCCGAGTTGAATGGACAGGGCATTCTTTCACGGCAGAGTGCAGAAAAGGACAGGCCCAGAGTTGCTGTAGGGGGCTTGCGAGCAAGGCAGACTGTGCCAGCTGTTCTCGTCGCCAGCCGTTGAGTCAGCGTCCCGCCCATAACTGGCCGTGGACAGAAGCTTGCCTGCATTTACTCGCGTTTTTGTTGGATTTCCGTGTTTCTGGACAGCCTGCCAAGCCACAACGTTGAAGCATTCCTGCAACCACTCCTGGCAGCCCTAAACCTTGAGCCTGAACCTAGCCAAATCACTGCGACACACCCACTGCACACCCGTGTTTGGGATCCAATTTGCGCCCACCGTGCATCCGACGAAAATGCAACCATGAGATTGCAGTGAGATCATCAAAGGAGCTCATATCCAACTGCAACCTATCTCAAATCAGACCATCTTTCAGCAGCCCTGAGGCCGCTAAAGGATTGGGGTCACTTGTGCCGCCTGGGTCACTTGCTGCGACAGACGACGCTCGAGTGATCCAAGTCGCACGAGCCCCAAGGCTCCAGATCCCACAAACGGCGACATGCTGTCACATGTCTTGTGTGCACCTGTTAGGAGCCATGTCGATCCCTGGTGCTGTTGATGTAGCCAGGCGGGCTTATCGAAAGATGGCGGCAGACATCTAGTTTGGGTGCTGCACCGCGGGTTTCCAAGAAAGAACATTCAGAGCTGGCTTCTACTGCCAAGGGTTGTGCGCCTCATAACTTGCTCCTTCGAGAGGAAGCTGCCGCAGCCGCCAGAGCCGCCTTCAGGACCCGCCCAGCGCAAGCAAGTGTGCATTTTTGCTTGCTTGGGATGCTGTAGCAGGTCGGAGGCGTCGCACATTTGTCGCTTGTGTCGTCGAAATTGAGTCGCTCGTGTCGTCGTTCCTTTCGACAATCAACAAGTCTGAAGCAGCTGCGCTACAACGCCCAGCTACTGAACCGCTAGATACGGAGCTGCACCTCAGTGTGCAAGGGACATCATGGACGACTGACCATCACTGGGAAGGGTCCGCAAGATTCCCGCCAAGTCAGCTCCAGGGCGCCAAATCGAGATCGCCCTCCAGACCATGGCCTGGGGTGATCGCCAGAGCGACCGCTTTTCTGACCAGTTTCTCGGCGTGTCGTGCGTAGAGTGGGGGGTGGTAGCCTAATGTACGAGAACTTGCTTTGTACATTTTGGAGGCGTTTCTGACTTTCGCGGATCTGGCCAAAAGTTCCCGGCAATTCTTGCCGCACGTGCAGTTCCCAGCATTTCCCGGCAAATCCCGGCAATCCCTTCTGCAGTTAAACTGGCCAGGCTTTTGCTGCAGCTCCTGTCATGTCCGACAAATGTGCGACAATTCTCCGCAATCCGTTTTGGTTTTGTAGCTTGTCTGCACGTAGGCTTAGCCCCGGTCCCGCAATTCTTTTCCTGCCGCAGTTCCCGCAGTTCTTCGCGCGCTGCCGTATAGTCTCCGCACGGTTCGCCAAATCCGGCAATCTTCTGTAAGCAGTCTTGCCGCGCTTTGGATTTCCTGGCAAAGTCCTGGCAAAACACGCCTTTCCCCCGACAGTGGATGCTAAGGATGCGGGGGGATGCTGAGGATGTTGGCACAGCCCCTCTTTCATTGAAAGGCGTGAAAACACGCCTTTCCCTGACAGTGGATGCTAAGGATGCGGCAAAAAATGCTGAGGATGTTGGCCCGGCTCCTCTTTCATTGACAGGCATGTAAAGAGCACCCCTGTGACACACACGCACACGCACACCCACAGGGGATGCTGCTGCTGCTGCGACAGGGGACGCTGAGAATGTTGGCCCCGCCCCTTGGTGTTTGAAGAGCGTGAAAACAGCCGTAGTCTTACCGCGCTTCCCGGCAGCTCCCGGCGCAGTTTTCCCTTGCCCCGGTTCGCGGCAATTGCCGGCAGATCTCTCTTCTGCAAGTAGGCTTGCTGTGCTTTTGCTGCAGTTCCCGGCATCTCCCGGCAAAGCCCGGCATTCGCTTTTGTGGTTCCAGGCCCCTTCACAATTCTTTCCGTAGACTTGCTGTAGTCTTGCCGTAGTTCCCGGCTGCCGGGCCCCGGCAATTCCCCGACAATTGCCCGGCAATTCTCCGGCAACTCCTTCTATACTTAGGCTTTCCGCAGTTCCCGGCAGTTCCCGATGGTTCCCTGCAGTTCCCGAGTCCCTTCCGCAGTTCCCACAATTCCCGACAAGCCTTCCCAATTTCCAGCAGCCCTTCCCCTGACCCACAAGAGTCTTGCCAGTGTGTTGCCGCAGAGTCTTTTCGCAGCCTTCCCAGATTCTTCACGTAGTCTGTCCGCAGTCTTCCCGCACGCTTGCCGTAGTATACGGATGCCTGTCCTGAATTGCACGCTTTTGTTGCGGTTAACACTTGTGTTAAAAGTAACAACCGATAGCGGAAGGCATTTGAATCACACTCAGATTCGAACCTTGAGTGCCTGCAGGATGACACTGCTTGATTCATGCTCCGTTCGCCATTTTGGCGAATTAGCCAAATTTTTCTTTCATTCCGACCTACCTGCCCTGCCTGCTCGACCGCCATGACTGCTCCAGCGAATTTCGCATCCATCGTGGAGGAGTACCAGCTCATGGAGATGACCGAGCTCGACCCGGATTATGAACGACTGTACCGGGCCCTTCAAGACCATCTTTCGATCCTGCCCGAGGCGGTCGGTTCGGGCTACATCTTGCAGGGCAATCAGGTCTGCAACCAGTTCATCAACCATTCCGGCTGCAGGGGACGCGCACCTGCCTCTGCCCACCAGTGCGCCTTTTTGCATCCGGAGTTCGTTGATGCGCGTTGGATGCCGCGAGACAACATCTGTTACCGACATCTTCGACAACAGGCCCGGCATCCGGAAGGCTTTTGCGACAGTGGTACCGAATGCCGCCATGTTCACAGCGACTCAGTCCTGCATGGTGACCTTCTTGCCTGGCTGCGCTTCGTGCACCATGCCAGACCCAACACCGGCGTGGGCATCCACTATGACACAGCCCACCGTGAGTGGCGCTTCGTGTCCAGGCGGGAGGCCTTTGAAATCCTCCGCGACCACCTTCACGGCGAGTGGAACACGCCCACTCACCACATGAACGTTCGGTACCCCGATCCGTGCACCTACCAGATGCCATACGCGGTACCACGTGGCCCGCCAAGCACATTGAACCCGTCTCGCCAACGGAACAACACCCCCCGACAGCAGCGAGGCCGCTCCACACAACCGGGATACTCCCGAGCTATGACACCACCGCGGACCGTCAACCTCGAGGCACCCACGGCTCGCGACACTCCCAGACAGGCCCGCTTCCCGGAGGCGACCACCACATCGACCGGGCCCGTCCCGCACCACATGCCTTCACCACGCCAGCCACCCACCACACCATCCAAGGCGGCACCCCCCACACCATCCAACCAACCTCACGACTTGATCCAGTGGCTCCAGCCGCCAGGCATCGACCGTGACGACAGCACACAAAGCCTACTGTCAACCCAGCGGGCCGGACACATCCGCGCGCGGTTACACGAAGATGCCACCTTCCTGATCAATCCGGAACTGCTACCGGAATTCCCCTCCGTCCTCGACCACATCGGCTTGCAATGGCACCTGACCAACTACGGCATCTTCTCGCGCACCCCCACCAATTCGTACGGGGTTGACTTCGGGGGCCTTTTTCTTGTACCCGTGGAACCAACTACGCAGGTCACACCTCTCAGGAGCCTGCTGCGCTGGATTATCCAGCAACACGTTCACCAACAACTCCAGCTGCTCAACAGCGCCAACCGGCAGCACATGCTACAACAACTGACCTGTTCCTGGCTTAGCTTCGGGAGGCAGCTCTGTCGCGCCTCCCGGCGAGACCCTTTTGTGGACAACATGGCAATCACCTTCGGGGAGACCATCATTGAGACAATTTCCAATTTCCTGACCCCCGAACAACGCACCATGGCGACCATCGAGGGCATCCTGCTCGGCCCCGACGGACACCTGCGCTTCAACCAGGAGCTCTAAGACTGAGCAGAGCCAGGACTCCCGCTACTGACCAGGCGGCACCGAGGAGTCTCCAAACCCACCACCCTAAGTTGACCCACCAAGTCCATGTCCCGTGCGATGGTAGGCCAGCAATAGGGCGATGACCCTCATACCGCACAGGTGACACCCATGCCTAGGCGACCGCCTGAGGCCCTTCTCCCGGAGAGAGATCCATCTTCGGACCGCGCAAAAGCGCTGAGAGCCTCGAGCACGGGTCGACCCTCTTCGTTTGATTCGAGAGGATACCCCTTGACAAACCGACCCACTGCTGAGGCCCATACTGCGGTGACCAATCCCCACTCGCCTGCCCCGAACCCGACCGGTCTTTCACCCCACTTCGGATCCCCTGTGGATTACCCTCGGTTTCTTCGGGTCGGATCCCTGATGACAAACTGGCCGACCCCGGTCATCCTCACACCGCAGGGAGTTGGTCCTAAGGGACAGCTCCACCCCTCGGGATGACATTTGTGCCGGTGTGGCGTGTCATCTAACACGACGTTTGTGCCGGTGTGGCGCGTCGTACAGATCCCCCCATCAACGGGCCATCCTTGGACCCGAGTCACCTAGACACACCCCCCTGGCCCGACCAACCCCCCCCCTTTGACTCACACCCGGCACACTACCGACTCCTGCGTGAGTTCGGCAAGCGCCACCTCCAATTCCGAAGGATTTTTCAGGCTGGCTTTTGTGTATCCGATATCGCACCCCCTTCGCACAACATGGCACTTCGCGAGACCGACGCAGTCTGCGATCTCCTCCTGCGGTCCTACAACACCGGCGTCCTCTCGAGGTTCCAGACCTTCCGCACCGAGAATCCCCGCCTCTCCACCACGGACGCGATCGACCTCTTCATGGAGTCGACCAACACCGAGCCGGACACACGGACACGCTACCTGCTGCTGGACTGGCACAACCTGAATCCGACACCAGCTACACTGCAGTGCTCGTTCTGCCAGATCCCATACCAATCCCAGTACATCATGCCCCTCTGCTTCTCAGAGGAAACCGACTGGCGAAACAAGTGGGTCGGGGCGTGCTACGGGTGCGCTACCTGCGACACCAGTAGCGTGCCGTGGTTCCAGTTTGAGGAGCTCCTGGCCGACCCGAACTCCCTGATTGCAGAACACGCACCGTACAACACCATCGCGGAGCACCCCGACCTCGCGGCCATGATCAGCGACCATACCATCGCCCCACCGACCTTACAGATTGCGGTGCCAGAGACGGACGACGCTCACGACGCCTACATCACCGTGCACAGGTGGGACCAGGTCAACCGCCGCTGGATCAGGGTACCAGCCCTCGACGTGAAGAACCGCCGGCCATTCACCCTCGAGGTGTTCAGCAAGCTGTGCCGACGAGCATGGCGACGCCGCTTGGACTACATGACCAACAAGGCCGTCGGCACCATCCGCACGAACACCCACATGGACATGATGGACTCCTTGCGCGAGATCCACCCCGGAACCTCCAACAACCACCTGCGCCGCCTCATCAGCGACCACTCCAAGTTCCTCGCCGAAACCATGTGCCTCGACCTCATCAACCTGGCACCCGAGGACCGACGAGACCTATTCCTCATGTTCCACAAATGGGAGAGGCAGCACCTCACCGAGGCATTGCGCGCAAACAGCACCGGGACCCTCCTTGAGTTCTTGGACTCTGACGACTATCCCACACACCTCACCGATTTCATCACCCGCGTCCTCCCGTCCACCGACGAGCACTTTATCTGCCGA